TATAAATCAAATAATTTAAATGAAATTTTTCAAAATGCTTGTTCACACTAGTTATTGGCGCCCCTATGAAAAACAAACAACCACTATCAATAAATAATACCCAAACTTCCATTTAAAATACTGCAATAATTTGCAGGCTTTCAAACATAGTTTGTTAAAATGTGACATAAGTAACGAAAAAGTAATTTAAATATGCACTTTAGCTAGGTAGAGTCTGGTGACTATTAAGAGGATTATCGATTTATTCAAAATGGAGGATGGCAATGCACTAGAATTGGACTTTCTTTCAATTGATGAACTTCTAAACTGCACTGTGAATTCTACCAATCATTTAGAGTTATGAAATTTTACACCACTAATATATAAATGGCTGATGAATCTAATTATCACTAGTAAATTTATGCAATCTATCTCAAGAAGCTTTATACTGATATGGTGAACGTAGACTATATATTCACACAGAGAACAACGGAAAACAGACCGCCCAACCACAAACTCCAGCTCACCATGTGCTGTCTAACTGAATGTAACATCTGACGTTCAGGCTATTTATAGCTAGGGGAAACCCCCGTGATTTGGCCGTTGCTTTTCAAAAGAATTTAGGGGCACCCCGAATCCCGTCGATGTTTTCCGTACGCAAATTTTTGCTAGATCGGTGACGTCATCGTTATTCAGAGGTCACGTGACGGGGAAGCATCAGTAGGTCTATCTGCCCCACCCCATCCCCACCACAATAGTCAATAGGAGGCTTCAGAACCCATACAGTAAAGTGCTGGGTGTACACTAAACAGCATGACCTGCAAAGAGTAAAGGACCCTTTTCCCCGCCTTTCAGGTGTATTGGGTGTGTAGGGCTAGGCCTACATTTAAAAAAGTCTGCCCCCCCCCCCCCTTTTTTTTCTGTGTAAGCGAGGCAAAGTAAAAATGTTTGAAATCATGCATGTTTTCTTTAGCAGCCTATAGATGCGAGTCGCGGATTCTCTCACTCAATCGTTGAAGAATACAAATCTGAGCTGTTGAACTGAAATGCTCTTAGAAATACCATAATTGCTGCTGACTTCAAAACTGCTTCAGCATTGAACTGATAGCCTAAAATGTAATGCTGCTTTCTTAAGATTTATTCAGACTCATTTATTTTAGCGTTTATTACTGGCTGTAAATTCTGACAGAAAGTTCTTGTTTGTCCACTTCTGGGCTTTGCTCGTGTTCCAGAACTTGAATTTTGGAGCTCCCTATGTCGGTTGTAAAGATTGTATGTTGCTCATCTTTCAGGTGGATGCACTTTAATTAAAAAAACTAAAAAAAAACTAAAATATGGCCTTTTACGAAGTGCTTGTTATGATGTTAGTGGGTCTGTACATGGGTCCCAGAATCCACAGTAAGTCTGGTGCAACCATTTTCGGGGGCATGTAGGGATTAGTTAGTCCACTAACCCCATAACAACAGGGTTCGTAGTGGACCGGGAAATCGGGAAATTACCGGGATTTTTTTCGTTGACCTTAAACCGGGATTTTTAGCTTATAAAAGACATTCCCACCTTGAAAAGCCGTGAATTTTGACCTCGGCAATGAAATCGTCAGAAATCCTGTGTTTTTCAAGCACAGGCAATTTTGGGGGAGCCATTTGGCTTTTTTGGCCATTTGGCTAGTTTTTGGCTACTTTCGTTGTATGGTCGTTTCAGGTGTGAGGGCAGCTGATTATTGGCTATTTTCAGCCGAAATGGCTTGTTAAAGGCCAGGGGAGGGCGGGCTTTGTTACAGATCATGAATACATGCAGACAGCAGCAGTGTGGCATGGGGCGGGAAGGAGCAGCTTCCGTCTCGCGCGCGCGTGTGTGTGTGTGTGTGTGCCTTTGTTTCTAGCAAGTCGGGCAGAATGAACAGTTTAAATCGTTTATGGCCGTGGTTTCTATAAAGGATTACATTGGGAGATGGTGGGGCTCGGTTCAGTTGTATTTATAAATAGAGTCGCCGTGGTGGGGCTAAGCACGGCCTTCTCTATTAATTAGAGATGGCATTGGGGCTAAGAAAAGTGACTGCAGCTGGATTTCCCAGTTCTATTTTTGGCCTGGATTTATCTTTACAGTGTGTTTGGCGATCAGTATTGTAATTCCCCGAGATTCCCTCTTCTCTTGTCTCACCCCTCTCTCTCTCTTCCCTCCCTCTTTCACTCTTCTACCTATTGCTCCTTCCTTCCCGTCTCCTGCATTGTCTCTAACCCTCCCTTCTGATCTTCATCTTCTTCTCTTTCTCTCTATCTTTCCTTTTACTCTCTCATTTCCTGTCCCCCCTCCCCCTTTTTCCTATTTTATTTCTTGTTTAAATGTTTAGTAAATGTGCGGCTCCATAACTCTTCCTAGCAACTCAAGTACACAGGAAGTTGTATTGGGGGGGGGGGGGGGGGTGCATTCATGTGTGAACAATGGTGGATATTTTCTTCTGATGTGTTTGTTTTCCAGCGGCCTTAATCCTAGCGGCCTTAATCTCTGTCCATCTCCCTTCCCGCCCCCTCACATTTTGTCCTACCTGTTCCTCACTCTCTGCCTGTCTGTGTCACTGCTTTCTTCTTTCTCTTTGTATTTGCCTCTCTCTCTCTCTCTCTCTCTCTCTCTCTCTCTCTCTCTCTTTCTCTCTCTTTCTCCATACCTTCAGTTGGTGTAGAAGGTTATGTGTTGCCTAGTGCAGAACATTTCATGTCCACCATTCCCCCTCCCACACATTAAATATATGTGTACTTTTAAAAAACTTTTGCCGTCACCCCCCCCCCCCCCCCCCCCCCTTTTTTTTTCTCCTCCCACATTGATGACACCTAGGGGAGGGAGTGCACCCCTTCCTGCTACCTTCTTCCCTCTTTATCTCATCTTATTTCTTACTCCCTTCTTTCTCTCCCTGTCTCATTCCCACTTTATTTTCTAAAACTTTATTCTCTCACCTCCTCTGTCTCACCCTTACCACCTCAGCCTTCTACACCACTTTCCACCACCTCCTCTCTCTCCCTCCTTTCTGTAATTGGAAAACCAGAAATAAAACGAAGTCCACTGCTGCCCTGACCTATTTATGTGTCTGACCTATTTATGTGTGTGGGTAAACTTCTCTATTTTCCACCAGTGGTGGGTTGGGATCCCCTGGACTTATATTTTCTTCATAAAATGACCTTGGCTCTCAGGTCACCAGCCTTAAGTGTAAGAAATTGAATTATTGTTGTCACACACAGATAGGACAAGCAAGGGGCAGTAGGGGTTAGCACTGTTGTTTTTGGACCACGGCCACATTCACATTGGGAGAGGGTAGGAACCAGAAAAGTGGCCTCACTTAGAGATTTTCTAATTCTATTTTTGGCACTCATTGTTCTTAAACCCCCCCCCCCCCCCCACCCCACAGCCGTGTCTTAACCTTTCTTCTCTCACCCCTTCTCTTTCCTTTGATCTTCTACTATTCTCCTTTCTCTCTCCATTCTTCCTCTCTTCCTTTCCTTGCCCTTTCTCCTGTCCCATCTCTTCTTTGTCTCCTCTCCGTCCTGTCTTTTCATTTTCTCTAGATTTCCTTACCCGCTCCCCTCTCTCATTCTCTCCCCCCCCCCATCATTTTTTTTTTATGGTTCATCTACGTATTTTTTTGCCCCATAACTATCTTTTCCTAGTGGTTGTCCACTACACTTGAAATTGGGGGGGGGGGGGAGTAGGTGGCTGTTTTTTTTTTCTTTGATGTATCTTGTCTCCCTTCTTGCCCCTCTCTCTTAATCTGTGTTTGTCACTGCCTTTCTTACCCACCTCTCTCTCTCTCTTGCTTTATGTCTGTTTGCCTCCCTTCATCACTTCCTCTTTGTATACCTCCCTCGCATTCTCCTGCTCTGCCTTTTTTCTCTTTCTTTGGTTCTCTCCCTCTGTCTGCTTGCCTCTCTGTGCTGTCCCTTTGTCTCTCTCTCTCCTTTATGTCTACATCTCTCTCTGCTTGCATCTGCTTCTCACCCTGTCTGTTCTCTCTCCCTCTGTCTCCCTTCTTTCAACTCTTTGTCATATTTTCCTCCTTCCATATCTCTATTTCGTTCCCTTTTTCATTCTCTTTTCATCTGCCCATCTCTGTATCTGCATTCCCTCTTTCTGTATTTTTTTCCCCTCTCTGTCTTTCGCTGTTCCTTCCCACTTTTCCTCATCATGTCTCCATCCCTCCCTCTCATTTTTTCCTCCTTCCCCAGACTTCTTTTCCTTCTTTTCTCTACCTTCATCTGTCCATCTTTACACTGTCTCTCCCAGCCTACCTCAGCATGTGTCTTCCTCTCTCTTCATGACTCTCTCTCTCTCCCCTAACCCTCTCAGGTACCAGGTCTAGAACAGACAGGACTTCAGTTTGCTGCCCTCTACCACCAAGCCCTAAAAAAATTTCAAACACTATATCAAGCTCAGGGGCCGACCAGCACGAAGATGGGCACAGGATATAAGTGACTCCTTGAGTATAAAAAAGTACATGAGGCGGGAGAGCTGGTGAGAGACCGAGGTTTTTTTGTCAGGACAAAGGAAATGCTACATGATGATGATATCTGTGCTGGTATACCAACACATGTGGCACAAATGAAGTACCTTGTGTGCTCAGTACACCCTTGAACAAGGCAAAAATCTTGTTTCAGTATTACACCGAGACAACCTTGAAAAAAACTAAGGAGACCTTGAAAAAGACCTTGAAAAGCCTTGAAATTGATTGGTAAATTTGGCTATGAACCCTGTAACAAGCACTTTGTAAAAGGCAATAAATAAGTGGGTTTTCATAAAAAGCGAGTAGTTACGGATTTGCGGAAATAAGATATGTTGGAATAAAAATTGCAGCTAAGTTATACACCACAACACAGTGTGCCAACTGCACTTTTAAGGATATACGCAGAAGGTATTCAGTTACTCTTACAATGTTATTTTCCACATAATTGTATTATTTTTTTTTCTTAATTTTGATGTTAGTTTAACTGTTTTCGTCTATTTCTTTTTTTGTTGTTGCAGAAAACGAAATCAAAATGACAACTCCATTTGAAGGTGATGTTTATAAGACTGGTTCAAAGCAGATCCTGGTCACCCGAGACCCAATCTACGTACACCCAGCCGTTACTAAACAGGGCAATTATATTGGGAGACAGCCACATGATTACCTGCCCCTGGCTATTTGTGTTACTGTCTTGAACCCACTTTTAGGACCAATTGCCATTTTGTTTGCCTGTAAGTACACTTATTTGTAATAAAGTTTCCTGAACTCTTTCAGGACCACATTTTTTTCTGGGATTTGGACAGCATTAATTTTTAGCTGAATTTTTTTATTCTGTAACACGGCAAAGCTAAAACCTTCCTGAAGAAAATTTTTGGCTGTATCAGAACATATAATATATCAAATTAAAGATAAGTGAGTACAGAATAAATCTAAACTATTTAAGTGTCAGTATTACAACAAATTATTATTAAAATCACACCACATTCAAGGAGGTTAGACACATATGAAGATTATTTACATTAAAAATGTTGTGCTTACCTTACTTTTTTTTTTTTTACTTGTTCAGCAACAATGCTATCCAATTCTAAGAATTCACATGCATTCTCTGCTCAATTATGTATCAGCTAGTCTTTATTTGAAACAATTCACTTTAATACTTTTGATGTTATGATCATTTTTGTATGTCATCAGATTTCACAACCGAAAATCGGGAAAACAGTTGATCTAATTGAAATTTTTTATTCAATCTTCATATCACTAAATTATTGCCAGTAGGTTTGTCACTTACATATCAGTCATAGTATCAAGACTTGTCACCATCTGGCAGAGATTCATCGACGACGGAGCGGTATGAACAGTTCTAGACCGTTTCCCTTATAATTTTGTATAGAAAAATCATGTAAAAATTGTATCACATCTAAAAAAATTAGTTAAAAATCACAAAATGGCGCAAAAGCAATGTGGGACATCACAAACAAAAGGATTTCTTTTTGCTACTCCTAGTTTTTCAAAACATTTTTATGAAAATTTGTTTTCCCTTACAAACAGAACAAAATTAAAGTTTCTCTATGATACTGGCGACTAGTCTGTTAGGGATAAAATCATACGCCAATTTACTGGAGAAAAGTTCTCAAAGACTTCACTAAAACCGTCAAATACTTTTGTGCAGTTATTGACTATAAAGAAATGTTTAGAATAAAATTAAATAGTGTGGCTTATATTTCTTGATAAGGCCAAGAATAGGAGAATACCATGGATTTTCTACCCAGGGTATGCAGGTGTCTGTGGCAGTAAATAGGCAGTTAGATTAGTTGCTGCCAGGTCCTCTGGACAGTTTAAGATAAGATGGATATCATAAAGGCTGTCTGAGACCTTGATTTGTATCACAGGTGAATGCTTGTGCAAAAGGTATTGAAAGAGCAGACGCCATGGCTGGCAGTGTAGCTATAAAGAATGGGCCATTTATGGATATGATTCTGTAGGAGGAAGTAACCATTCTGAGGCTTTAGTTTAATGGAAAATTATTCTTCACTGAATATACAGCATACCCTGGTGTACTAGTCAGAACAGTGAGACAGGAAAACTAAGTGGGAGCCACCAGTCGTTACATCATCCAGAGCAGAATGGGAGTTGTTAGCCTGAAAACACTTAGGGACGTACTCAGGAGGAGATTGGAGCACTTATGGTCATGTCCGGTAAAGATGATCTTTTAATGAACAATGCAAAACAGACTATTCATATCTGGTGAGACTGCTTCATTAGGGGAATGATCAGAAGGTCTGGGAAAAACAGCAACATTCTAAATGAGGTTGCTATTGTCACACCAGGATAGATTGCCCAATCATTGATTCTGTTATCTCATTACGTGTGGAGGTTGCATCTTCTTCTTTCCTTTACTCCTAGAATGCCTTGCGGCGTCAGGGCAGGAAGAGATCTCTGGAACGGGCCCTTCTGTACACTTCGTATAAAGTATTTTTCAGAATCTCTGATTTTTTTGTGGTCCATATTGTGTGTGGTCGACCTCTGGCTCTGTTACTGCTGTATCTGTACAACATTGATCTCTGTGGTGCCCTGTTTGATGCCAATCTTGTTTCATGGCCAAACCTCATCTTGATCTGTCCATTTCCCTATGTGGGATCTGGAACCAATTTTTATAAAGGGGGGGGGGGGGTGGGTAGACTGGTTACATCATAAGCACGTTATAAAAGGCGACTAATTGAGCTTTAGCTGAAACTGGATGTGCTGGGTCAAAGGAAGCAGATATCACAGCCTAGCTGTTAACCCTCCCTGTGCAGTGTGCAACTGCCCTTTTAACTCCTTTCAGTCCCAAGGAATGCATCGTGCTTTCAAAAATTCCTACTTAGAAGCCCAATGAATGCAAGATGCTCTGATTGTATGTCATCTTTACTATCCATCGGGTCTTTGTCGCTAGGACTGAAAAAGTTAATGATGAATGCAGAAGAAGAACTTTCCAGTAAAACACATTTCTGGAATAGTCAATGGGTCTTCTTAGTGTTTACTGACCGCAAACAGGCATACAGTTCTGGTTGTTCATCCAGCTCTGGACTTTGGTCTTATTTCAGAACTTGAGCTTTGCATGAACATCCATTTTAAACATCTGCTTTATTTCAGGCTGTTGGTTCTTTACCTCTTGGTCTTATTTCAGAACTTGAGCTTTGCATGAACATCCATTTTAAACATCTGCTTTATTTCAGGCTGTTGGTTCTTTACCTCTGAGAAAGATGCACTTAGAAGGAAATACTAATAATTAGTCGCCTTTTGTGACCTGCTTTGTAGTTGTGGGGTTGTCTGTTCTTAAAATCCCAAAATGGGGCCCAGGAACCCACACATAGAAAGTAAGTATTTTTAGACATTTGCTATACCCTGCAAGATTTTGTATTTGACATACAAATGTGCCACATACAAGCACAGCTGCACATGTTTTTGGAGGACAGTGCATTTATCTTATCATGTTTTTCATTTTCTTTCTCCAGTCAAATCTTCCAAGTCGTTCACTGATGGGGACATTATCTACGCCACAAAATGGAGCAACTATGCCTTCCTCACAAGCATGCTTGTCATTGTCACCAGCTGTTTGGCATATGTAGCTCTTGCATTTGCTTTGTCAGGACCAGAACTAAGGGGAGGGCACTCTTACTGAAAGACATCGACTATTGGTGAAAACTTTGTAAATTTGAGTGCAGATTTCATTCATGATGTATTGTTATTTTCTCATCATAATTCTATTGTTAACTAAACCTTGTTGTTTGATTCTCATATATTTTGATATATTTTCTTTCTATGTGACATTTACCAATATTTTAGAGAGATAAGTAAACCAAAAGTCTATGTATAAATAGAATCAAACAAATTGCATTAAAAAAGCTCTTTTATTAGTTTTCCTAAATTTGCTACACTTGTTGGTATCCTGGGAACTTTCTAGCACAGTAATGACAACTGCTACTTTCTTAAATAGAAGAGTGCTTACTGTTACTGGGATGATTTTGACTGGACCTTGTCCTGTATCCTTTGCAGCTTCATGTCAGGAGTTAGCATGTTAACGTTCTGTTGGATTATTTTTGGTAGAGGCTAATATTGAGAACCCATCATTTAAATTTTTTTGACGAAAGGGGTGCATGTTCTTGAAGTCAAATAAACATTGCAGTTGTTGACTAAGATTTTCCTGAGCTGTCTACTCTTGGTACATTGTCTTGTCTTGTCCACAATTGCCTCACAGCGTAGTGGGGAGTCGCAGTTTTCTATCCTGGGCCAGGTGTGTTGCACATGTTGTTGTTAGTCCGTGTTGCCTCAGGATCTCTTGGTACATTACAGTTGCTTATTTCTGTGTGTTGCTGGTTGCCCTCTTGTTATTTTGACAACTCCAGCATCTCTCTTCAATAGGAAAGTTAGTTTATTCCTTGTCAAACTGGCTTGGAGAAAGATTTTGTCTATAACCTTTGTAAATTTTTTTAGCTTCCTAGTGCACACTAACAAGCTAGGGAGAACAGAATATTATTATAATTTTTTTTGGGTATGATAAGAGAAACTGGGAATTGTATGCTGTACCTCATGTTTCTACAGACTCAAAATCTTTAGTAATTTTTTTCCAGATTAACATTCCTTGTGTAATTATTGCCCATTTGGACCATGCAACTCTTTGTTTTTTATATTGTGTCCTCTACATTTGTTTTTGAACATACTAATGAATTCTGACTAGATGGATCGATATTAACATGCAACACAAGTATGTGTTTTTTATATGCGCCTCCTTGAAATTAGCAGAATTTTTTTTTATTGTGCCTTCCTTTGGCCACAGCGAAATGTCAACTTCATAACATAAATCTCTGTATCCTGGTTTGTTTTGGAGAGGTAGCACTGGTTCCATCCTCTAACTTATTTTCTGATTAAGTTATTTCTGATCTGGTCTCTTCTTGTTGCATTTAGGATTGTTTTGTAGACATTTCACTTCTTTTTGTTTCGATTATTCTCTTTTCCCTTTTGTTTTTAAAGCCCACGTTTGGCATTGTTTGAGCAAATACTGTATTGAATAGTGCTTCGTTGTATATCTTGTGTTTGTAAATCAAGATTTGGTACATCTAATAATAATAAATTTCTAAAAAAAAAAGACAGTTATGTAACTGGTATTATTCAGTCTCACAACAAAATTTTCTGCCAACATATTAGATTTGACTACACGTAATTCACGTAAAAAATGTTTAATTAAGAATCGACATCACAGCACTCGGAACATTCCCATAAGCAGTCCGTCCCCATCTTCAGCCGTGAGCGCAGAGTTCCACTTTCAATGGTACCACTAGCAGTCTGATTATATATACGTCTCACCTTTTCCTTGACTGCTGATCGTCGACCAGATCCCTTGGTCACTCCTCACAGGCCATTCTCCTCAGACTGCGATGATACATCTGTGCCTCACGTAAATAAACATAGGGGGAACCCTTGAGGCTGTAGAAGTGTGATCTACCTTCTTTTTTTATGAGTGCCAATCAATACCTCATCCGTTTGTTTATTATATATAGATGTGGTTAATTTGGTTCTAGCTCGAGGCATGTGGTTTTCAAATTTGGGGGATGCGGGGAATTTCAACAAGGGGATCCAAGCAGTTTTGAAATGCATTTGTGCCTGTACACAAAACAGCATTGCTAGCTTGATATGGAGAGTGGTCTCAGTGATGCTGTGTCCAACGTCAGATCGAAAATAGCAAATATCATCAAGACAAAACAGTGTCCACCATCACATTGATATTTGGATACTAAATTACCAGTTGTTAGTGATTGTTTCTATTGTTATTTGACACTTTTAAATATGCAGATGTTTTGTTTCCAAGTTGTTGTTATCAGGGCTTGGAATTATTCTTCTTGTCCTTTTTATTTGTTTCCAAGTTGGGGGGGGGGGGGGGGGGGTCGTGGGGTCTTGCCATATATTCAAGGGAGATCTTCTTCTCCTCTACCACTGAACCTCATCAAGATGTTGGGGGAGATGTAAGGATCTTTTGAGTGCTTTTTCCAATGCAGTGAACAAGTTGATGTTGTTTGGTTGCTTCTGATGGTATCGCTCCATCTCTTGCATGGTCTTTCCCTATATCTGTGTTCATTATATTTCTTCAGCGTGGCTCTCTGTGGCAGTTGGTACCAGGGCATTCTCGTCAGGTGGCCAAACCATTTCATTTGTTGTTCTGTAATGAATTGTTTGACTGGTTTCAGTCCTGGTCTTCTAATTTCTTCATTCCTGATTTTCTCTCTTCTTTTCACACTAGCAGTTCTCCTAAGACATCTCTGTTGTCAAGGGAGGTGCCACCTGAAAAAGATTGAAAACCACTGCCCTAGGGTCAAGTCATAGAAGGGGGGGGGGGGGGGGAGGGACTGACTTTCCCTTGAACATGCATGTCGAAAAAGATAACTAATTAAAAGGTTTGCTGAAATCGGGTGTGTTGGGTAGATTGGCACAAATATCGCAGCCTGGCTGTAACCGTAACAAAACATGCCAATCGCCCTTTTAAGAATGAATGAAGAAGTATCGTACTCATACTTTTCTACATGTGTCATTATTTTTTGATGTCCCTGTATCCAAGAACATATAGAAAGGAAGCAAATTTGAACATATTGTCTGGTAATCATTAACATATTTGTGTTGCCTTTCCTTTGAATTTAAACAAAGCAGGCAGAGAGAGGGATCATGCTGCATGGGCAACACATGGTCTCTGCAATACAGCTCATGCTTTGAATTAAAAGCTAAGACCTTCTCGTCAGCTGCAAGAGTCTAGCCACTCCACAATCGCGGCTCCATTGCATTTATTACTCCAGAAAACCAATGCTCAAGCTGTTTGTCTTGCGCTCGGAATGTCACAGGTTTCTTTCACAGCTGCATTGTTCAGGTCACGAGTTCAAGTTTAGAGACCCCTGAGAATTGTCGCAGGAGATATGATGTTCATGCTTTGTGCGGCGCTCTCTGCAGACAGCTAGCCGTTCTGCAAAGAGAGACAGAGCCATATGGGATAAAACCCAGTGCAATAGAGTCGATCCTTTCGGCTTTATGGATTAGTGGAGGCATGTGCTATAGAGGTCTATAGCTATCTCATTTGAAAACCAGAAGCAGAAAGAACAAAGAAAAACTGCACATCCCCAGTCCAAGAGACTTTATATGTTGTAAAATTGTTATAATGTTACGAATTGTTTCTTTTGTCCAGCATGAAACTGCAGTTGAATGTTTATGAGTCCGGAGATGACTCATAAGTCCAATACATTCCCTGAAGAGTTTAGGACAATGAGGGCAGGGCATATGTTGTTTATTACAACAACAACAAAACTAAAACATATCACTCTCACAGTGAAGCAGCCTTTTGCAAACCGATTCATTCCAGTTTTCCTTTACATCTTTTGTAGCCAAATATTTGCTGCTGTTATAATGAAATGTAAATAAATCTACACCATATGTTATATGACTTCTGTGTTATATTATTTACTACTGAGCTAGGGGGAGCCATTGTGTTGCTAGACTCATGTTGGTCAGCAGGTCTAGGGTTCTGGTCTGAATTGAATCAAATGAACAAAATTGATCTTGGCTTCCAGGTTGACTGGGTCAAAAAGGAGTACCAGTTAATGTCCTGGGAAGTCAAGGACCCTTTTCCGCATCCTCAGGCATATCGTGTTAGACGTATATTTTATAGACCCATGGAGGTCAACATCACTCCGGCCACCTTTACTTCCCAGTACTTCATCTTGTGCTCATTTAAAGTTGGGTCAGCCTGGGAGCCAAGGCTATTTAAAAAAAAAAAAATAAGCTCTGTTTGGATTTGAACCGATGACCTTTTGGACATATTGTACTAGACCTATCTAGTCAAACTGTCTAGACAGCAAATTCAATAAAAGCTGTTCCCCCCAAAAATGGGATGGGTCAATTGGGGGGGGGGGGTCGACACGGTTAACTCTACACGAATGTGTCTTTAGAAAAACTCACCATCCCTTTGGGGGGGGGGGGGGGGGGGTCGACACGGTTAACTCTACACGAATGTGTCTCTAGAAAAGCTCACCAATTTTCCCCCTAGTAAATCCCTTTGAGGAGGGGGGGGCGAACAAGAACAGAGCCTCTTAGGGGTTTCCTTGGAAGTCAGAGTGCATCTTCCTGAGAGACAAAGAACCAACAGTATGCGTACAGATAAGCCAGACCTGTGAAACGCATTTGCACGCAAAATTCTGGAACAAGACCAAAGTCCAAAAAGTGGATGAACATCCAGAACTTTTTGCCGGAGTTTACAGCTGGTGAATGCGAAAAAGAAAAACATTTACTCATCTAGCCACAGGGTACATCGCAACCTTCTGAAGTAAATTTAGGAATAAGACAGGAATTCCCCCTGCTTTTTAAAAGATACATCGATAGTATTTGCAAAGAAGCAGAGAGCAAAGAAAGGAATGATATCATAATTTTTTTTTTTTGCAGATGACGTAGTATTATATCTAAAACAGAAGAGAGTTTACAGAACCATTTAAACCAAGTCAATACTAAGTGTGAGAAATATAATATGAGGATAACCATTGATAAGACAGGGCAACGGTTATAGGTGGACAAGGAGAAACCATATTAATTAAAGTAAATAACACAGAAATAAAGCAAACAAGCAAATTTTAATATCTAGGGTCATTTTTT